TTACAATATTCCAAAACCCTATGGAGAAATCCTGTTGCTTTTTGTCGAGGGAACCAGCAGCTTACTTCCGGGTAAATACGTCATCCCTGCATCCAGATCTGTACTGAGTCTTTATCTTTCCCCTCCGCAGTGACGCCAGCCCCTCTAACTGGGCCGTGAGTCTGGGGTCTGTGCTGCGCTCGGGGATCGGAGCGCTGGTGATCCCCATCCAGAGGGTCGTCATCCACCCGGCCTTCAACGGCTCCACCATGGAGCACGACGTGGCTCTGTTGGAGCTGGCGGTCCCAGCCCCCATGTCCTACACCATCCAGTCCGCCTGCCTCCCCTCCCCCGTGCATCGCTTCCCCAAAGAGGCAGAGTGCTACGTCACAGGCTGGGGGTCCATGAGGGAGGGAGGTGAGAGAGTCAAAATCCAATTATTGTTATAGAAAGCATTTAATGATTGCATCAAAATGTTACATGCTACAAAAAACTGGAGAATTGGACATGATTGTCAGGAGGGAATGTTTGTTAACAACGGAGCAAAAGCTCTCACATTATTTATGTAATAATGGTAAGACTTAATAAAAAACACTTGAGGCTACAAACATTTTGTTAAATTATAATAAGGATGTTTTGTACTGAGGAACTCCCTTACAGCCTCATCATACCTTCCACTATACAATAAATGAAAACACAATAATTGTTCTGTTCAAACTATATTTATAACTAACCCTTCAGAAACCGTAGATATGTTATATTAGAGGTAGATATATTGACTTTAATGATTACCATTGTAAAGCCTTGAGTTTGGCATATTGGCCATTGCTCTCTTGATTAATTGTTATGATCTGAAAACTCAGTGTGAAATTGTTAAAGTCGTGAGGCCAAGTTGGACGACAATGTGTTTTAGCGACCTGTCCATCACAAGGTAGCCATACCATAAAGAAATACCCCCTTTATTGTCTATTTTAATTCCAAATAGACATCCTGTTGTATGGATAACAATGTAACACTAACAACTAAGACCATAAACTCATCAGAAAAGTGTTTACTGCATTTTCCACATTGGCTTCACTTGTTAAACCCGGAGGAGGTTGCCACGTGTTATGATCAGATTTAAAGTATTTGTGAAAATGCGTTTACCACTCATATAAGCTTTATTTTTCTGCCAGGCTCGTTGACCAACATGCTGCAGAAGGCTGCAGTGAGCATCATCGAGCAGGCAGACTGCAAACAGCCGTACAGAGACGCTCTGACTCCTAACATGATGTGTGCCGGATACATGGAGGGAGGAAGGGACACCTGCTGGGTGAGAACTGGACTCTTTAATGTGACACAATATCTCATGTTGGCACACTGGAAAAAATGCTGCTCCAAAAACAAGTTTAAAAAATAATGAAACAGAACAAATGAAAATGTGTTTGGTAAGATTCCTTGAGATAAGAAGGGATATTCAGATAAATCAGATCTTGTAATTACAGTAGCTGGGAGAACTCATTTTGGACTATATTTCACCAGAACCAGGAGATGTTGTTTTACAATATAAGCCACAAATACTCCAAAGTTTTCTGTTTTCTGATGTTAGTTGGTGATTTTCCAATACATATAAAAAAGTTGAATCTGAGATACAACTCAAAATAACATTATTTAACTTACTAAAAACAAGACCCGATATCTCACTGCAGTGTTACTTCTGAAGTTATTATGTGTTATATCAGCTGTAGAGACATATTCTTACAAGATATTAGACAAATATACTTGGCAAGATTTCAAGTTTTTGTAGTGCAGAATCTGAGCAGTGCGATTATCAAACAAAAATAAACATAAAAACAATTATTTAAAAACGGCAAATACATTGCACACTTTATAATGTATTTATCCTATGATTATATATGTTTTAGTAGTAGGGTATAGTGTATTTTAACTTAGTCTGTATATATCTATATAGTGTGCAGTATCTTCTATTGTGAATATGTTTACTTATTTTACTGTGTATGGTTTCAATTCATGTGCAATGCCTTTTTTCTATGCTGCTGTAACAAAACATATTTCCAATTTGTGATAAATTGAGTATATCTAATCTGAAAAAGTGCTAAGAGGAAATAGAAAATAGGATTATGGCTCCAATAAATATTTTTTATAGTGGATTCTTAACCCAGTCAGAGCAAAAGTAAATGTTGCATATAACTTCTTAGATGTTCCTAGGAGTCATCAGCATATTTATAATTCATAATTTGGAAATACGTGATGCATTTGATGTTTTGCACTTTCAGTACTTTTGCGGAGAGTAGACTATGTTCCCAAATAAAATACACAGCCCCCTTTCCCCTCGCTTTAATCTTCTCATGTAAGGAAACCCTCGTGCATTCCTGTCTCGGTCAAAGCACCTGGCATCCCATCAGCGAGCCAAATGACATTCTCTCTGAAGCTCACTCTTCTGCTCCCCTGCTCATCCTTAATTAATCATTTTATTCATCCTTACATGCCGGAGACCTCTGTGCAAGGAGGTTATTTAAAGGGGACCTACCGGTGTGTCGGGGAACTCACAAAGTGGCAGAAAATAAAACTCTCTTTTCCTCCGTACCCAAATCTCTAAAAACTGGGCTTCAACGGAGCTGATCCAGATTTGCGTCCGATATGACGTAATATCGGAAATGTGGACCCACGGGCCTATCAGAAAGTTGCTATCAGAAACAATGCCTGACGTGTTTTGGACGTAATATGGTCTTTGTTTACATTAGCATCGCTAACACTCAGAGCTAACCTGTACTGGAGAGAGTGGGTGTTTCTCAATGTCGAGGAGGCTTGCTTGGTAGCACATGTACCTCCGAGTGAGTTCCTTAAGAAGCGAGGCAAGAATACCTCCTAGCCTCGGGAAGCGAACAGGCTAGCAAGTGCGCCTTACATTTTCCGCCAAAAATTTCGGAAATTGTTCCGTGCGCAAAGCATTGTGGGGATTTTAAGACCGCGAAGTCTACACATGTGCAGCCTCAAAATTTCCCGCAACGAAGTACGCCAGCCTCGGTAGAAGTATCCTGGACATTGAAACAGTCCTTCGGCGAGACTCGATGACGTAGTATCCTTGAAATAGTGGCTCAGCTTTACTCGAGATTGAGAAACACCCACAATGTTTAAAAAAGCAGGAAATAAAAAAAGGATTTCAGCTCGATACTGTTTCAGAAATATATATATCCTTTATTTAACCAGGTAAAAGAATAATAATCCTTGATGTGGTTTGGAACATGATATGGCATTTAATCACGGCAGAATTTAACTGTATCTGCCGGTAGAATTCTGAGCAGGCATTAGCTTCCCAGAATCAGCGTTTCTCTAACAGGGCTGAAACATAGGGATATGAGGGATGTCTAAAATGCATGATCTGTTTGGTATCTTGAGCAAAACACATCATAGACATGTTTTTATATATTTGTATATATCTGAGACCCATAATATATGCCTAACAATAGCATGATAGGAGACCTTTAACACTTTTACTCTCTCCCGTTCTCCAGGGTGACTCTGGAGGCCCTCTGACTTGCCGGGAGCCGTCCGGTCACTGGTTTGTTGCCGGAGTCACCAGCTGGGGACATGGCTGTGGACGAATTGGTTTCCCGGGGGTTTACACTCGTACGACGTCGGTCCGGAAATGGATTTCTACATACCTGCCTTTCTGAAGAAGGTGAAAAAAAGGTGCTGAAAATATGACACGGATACAGAGGATTTTCCTTCAATATCTCCTTAAAATATGTACTGTATGAGGGACTAAAGTCATGCTAATAAGCCACTCATTGATAGTTTCCACGTGACCTTCTGGTGCTGTTTGTAATACTGTGCGGTCATCTGAACTGGGACTATCATCGTCTTTAAGGAGAACACTGAGTCGTGGCTTATGGACATTTTGCTAGCACATGCATTCAAAATATTTATTTCAGTTATTTATTATTTTTCCGATTGGTAAACTTGATTTTCATGGTGAATTTTTATTTTCATTTTGTGTGGGGTTCAGAATATAATGTGGTTCATTTATGGGTTGTCTTTTTTTGTATATTCTCAGAAAAAAAGACTAAGATGTAAATGTAAGATTTGTGAGTGAAAAGTGGGTTTCTGGGAAAAATATATTTCTTTTTTAAAAAGTTTGTTTGGTAAATTCCTAGTTTATTTGTTGATGTAGATACACTTGGACTCAAGAGAGGATTTTGGTTGATGAGATTTATTGATTACTTCTTGAAAATGGTTCCTTTTTCTCACAATCACACTGAAAGTAGCTGTAGTGGCTCTCTACATAAAGGAAGGAAGATTGTGGTTCCGAGACATCTGACAAGCCGCACACACACACACACACACTCCTGAAACAAGCCCACCTCTGTGGAGGGGGCAGATAGAGTGACAACTAGAAAACAGGTCAGACAAAACAGTTTTGTTCTCCAGGCGTACTTTGATATCCGTCTGTTTGGAGGCTTGTGAATGTCAGGTTCACGGTTGTGAAAACACCAAGTTGCTCAACAAGTCTTCCTTTTTCATTTTAAGTAGGTCTTTTAAAGAAAAGGCATGTCAAGGAAAGCCTGGGGGGGTTATTACTGCCGTGCTGCTTGTTCTCCTGGCACAATTGTTTAGTCTCTCCGGGCATAAACACAATGAAATAATGGGCACACTGAGCAGTTTTATGGAGCCATTGAAAGTCCTGTTTATAGTTATCATGTGCCCCAATTTGACAGACTCTTGCACACAAAGATTTCACCTCAATTGGAAGGCAGCAGAGTGTCAGTGTTTCCATTGAAGCCCCACTGTAGTTAAAACATGTTGCTCCAAAAAGCCATCGTGCTGCTGTTGACTGATTTTAAAGGGTGCCACAATCTAACTACAGCTGGAACAATTAGTCGACTACTTTGTTAGTCTATCCAAAGGAAAATAACCGCCTCAAAACGTTGATAATTGTTCCTTTTTAATGAAAAGTGGCAACAATTCTGTTTTACTGCCCGTCAAATATGGAGATTTTATCTTTACTGTGTACTTTCATACTTTAGTAAATATATTTGGGTTTTAGACAAAACAAGACATTAAAAAAAAAAGGGATGGCACTTTTTCAATATTTTGACATTTTATAGACCAAGTGATTAATCTAGAAAAAAAGTGTGAGTTTCAGCCCTGATTGCAAAACAGTACATTTATTTTTTTAATCTGCATACATTATTGGAACATATCCCAGCATGCACTGCTCGAGATATGGGATACACTTGGACAGTGGTCAGACAATTACAGGTTTTACTTGGAGACACATTCACACTTATGTTCACTCCAACGGGAAATGTAGAGCGTCCAATTCTCATCAATTACATAAAGTATGCAGGTGCATGTTTTAACAATGTATGTTTACGTATTAACTACTCATAACATAAAAACACATTTAATCAAACTTTATAACAGTTCCTCGGAGCAAAAGGAAAATGTCCATAGAGACTTTGTTATGGCTCGAGTCCACCGGCTCTGCTGCCTGTCTGAGGTATCGTGATGATGATGATGATGTTCTGCTGCAGCCACACACACACACCTGTGAGTGCACAGCTTCAGCCTCCAGTGGAAACACACCTGCTGCTCCTCACTGAGCAGCACAGGGAGGAAGGGACGGGTGCAGAGAGAGGCGTTCACATGCGAGCTCTTTCCTTCTGTAGTCTGGAGTTGTATGTTCGGGACACCGTGTTCCAGGCGTCCATATACCGGTCCATACACATGGCGATGCATTTCTGTGAGGAAGAGCAGACACATACAAATACATTCTGATCATTTTAAAAGAATGCAACAAACCATCCTGGTTTTTACAAATCATTCAGCCCAGTATTTCCTTGAAAAACAATTGGGTCTATAATGTTGTGCTGGGCAATGTATCAGTACAACATCAATACCATGTTACAAGACTTGGTGTCATCTTATATTTTGATATTGTATTCATTTCAAGGTATGAAGTGTTCATTACAGTAGAGAGATGTAATATTCTATTCTTGCGCTTCTATTATTTGCCTTTAGGCATTGTATCCACATTACTAATGATTATTTATCATTTGTCTAATTTCTGTAAGCACCAATAGTGAATCCTACAATATCGATGTTTAAAGGTCCCATGTCATGGCCATTTCTACTGATCATAATTCCATTGTTGAGGTCTGCTAAAATATATTTATATTTTCCAAACTCACGTTGGTTTCTCATACAGCATCGGCTTGTTGGAGCTCCTGCCCCCCCCCCCCTGTGAGCCCAGTGGCCGTCAGTGTGTGCATTGATTGAATTGCCGAGGCGACNCCCTTCCTGTGAGCCCAGTGGCCGTCAGTGTGTGTGTGAGGAAGTCAGCGGAGCCGTTAAGTTATGTTACGTCACTACACCCGAAATACGTCACTATACCCAAGAAGTAAACAATGGAAAAAGAGAAATGTCCAACGAGGCGTTCTGGGGCAGCATAGACAGGTATTTTCTGTGTTAGAGTTTTACTCTCTACAGGGTGTACTTTGAGGTTTTGTGACCCTGCAGACCGTTTACATGCAGAAAAAGCTACATAACACACAAGGGGATGGGTAATAACCGGAAAAGCATGACATGGGCCTTTTAAGAATATGAATACAGGCATTCTATAAACAAAATATATTTGTTGTTCTCCATATTCCCTAGCCCTACTATAATGTATTAGTTGACATATTACAAAATGACTTGTCTTGTCCGACCCAAAGTCAAAAATCTGTGGATTCCTTTCACTATCATGAAAATTAAAGTAAAGCAGTGGATCCTGTTTTGGGATGATCAAAGCTGAGAGAAATGAATACTGGTTTCAGTCAATTCCTAGATATCTTTTTGACATCTTAAAGCATAACACACCTGCTCAGAGTTGTCCAGCGAGCTCCCAGGTTTCCCTATGCACTTCTTGAAGCATTTGTCTGTCATTCTCTGAAACACAAACACATTGTTTATTATCATGTCTTACTAACAGCTGAGAGTTCCCATCATCTGTAGTTGACCTTCTGTAGGTGAAATGGTCAAATCCCTACACACATGTATACTGCTTTAGGTCTTAGTCGACTTATTGTTTGTTTAGGTTTTAGTCTAGTTTTTTTTTAATATTCCAAGAAACTCATCCTCAAAGTTTTGCTTTTGGAAAAGTCTTACAAATGTTTCAATTGAACAAAGTCATCGATAAGTCTACAAAATGTGCTAGTTTACTAGGAAATGATTTGGTCGAGGTCAGCTCTAGGTTAAAGAGATTAAAGGTTACATTTTTTGCACATTGATGTTACATTATGTCAAAGCAATTCCATTCATACTGCTGTTTCTATCAAGCTTACTTCATTAACATATACATTACATATATATATCTTCATGAAACGTTGTGACTTGACTCATAATGGTGCTCATAACGCCCCAAATAAATATATCTACATAACGTAACTCTACTAAGTGAAGTGTTAGCTTGTTAGCTTAGCATGTTTCTCCATTGGTTTACCTGCAGCAGCTCCTGAGCGTTAGCCACCGCGATCTGCACTTTAACTTGTTCCATGATGGTCCCGGTGTCCACTTTTCCACCAGCCCCACCGGCAGAGAAGTCTGAACCATAGCCTTCCATTTCTACCGTAAACGTTACCGAAAACTGAAGCTTTATCGGTGTTTTTAGACACACGTGTGTACAGCTACCTTTAGGTTCGGCTTACGTTAGTTTTCAGTGCCCTTGACAGCGGCGGAAGTCTGCACACGTCACTTCCGCATAAGGGGGATTCCGATTTTGGGAAGTGTAGTTTTTTGACAGCTGGTACGATTGAGGTACAGTTCTTAATATACATCCATGTTGGCCACGCGGTGGTGATATACTCTAATAATGTATAACACTATTCAACTTTAATGAAAGGAATTAGAGTCCTTTGTGTGCTACCAATACATGATATAGATTTTCTTTCCATATCATTCAATATTTTAATGCACAAATTGTTTGATTATGAGATTTAATACAAAATCAAGCATCTGTTAGAAAGATAGTTCATCACTGATTGCAACGTTATGCATATTATGTCACTGCATTGTAAATCAAACATGTGATGTACAGCAGGTTAGGGGCCATTTTAGGACTGTCTGCCTTGACTCTTACGAAAATAATTGTATTGTAATTATTAACAAACCAATATGTAATGCCAAAAGAAAGGTATTTGCTGTCATGTGCACAACAATTACAGAGAAGCAATATGCATTTTATTTTTTTAAATGAGTGAACTTGAATGTTATGCTGTGCAGTGATAAATAAGCGCAAAATGTGTTAATTATTTGATTTATATTTACTTGTGAAACATCACAACAACCATTTATCTCATAGCCTATATCTTCCACAGCAGGCTTTATTGGAAAATAAATCAAAATAAATTCAATATAAACATGAATAACATACATCCAAGTTGTATAATGTCAACCTTTTTATTCCCCTTTATCCATTGGATAATTGCAGAGATTCATTCATCATACCAATGTAATTACTGTGACAACTTGTGTCAGCAAATAGATGAAGCATTTACCCCAAACTATGTGGAAAGCAGGAGGCTGTAAGACGTAAATAGAAGGTCATAAGAAGCTCTGCATTGTTTGGCGTTGAGTCGGGGGCCCGAGGACGACCCCTTCTCCTTATGTTTCAGACGGGATAACCTCACTGAGAGGACCACCTGCCTCGAGTGAACAAATCAGTGGTACAGTGAGTCTGCAGGCAAACAATGGAGCGACGGTTACTGTCACTGTCAACCGACACTGTGTGACTGGCTTGATGCAACGCTGGGGGCATTGAGGAATAATTACGGGGGGTCTGATTAGTGGCGTGCCCGCCTCGCAGTAATTAATGACCGGTTAAAAACCCAAGCCCATGCAAAAACACACATACATTAATCCTTTGGGCTCAAAGCCATGAACTGAATGGGGGGTTGTGTTAAAGTGCAGCAAAATGAATTAACCCTAGATTACAATCATGAGTTCATTATTCTAATCTTCTTAAATTCTTAATCTCCTTAAGGCACACTTGTGTGTATGAAAGCATTTTGAACCCAGTCTGCAACAAGGGAGGCTTCAACGAGCAGCGGCAACAATGAGAATGTGAAGCACCATGAGTGTGTTTATGGTGTCAAACTTTGAGGTTACACAACGCTGCAGGTGATTACTCCAAGGCTTTCAAGTGTAAAAAAAGATGTGAGTGGCTTGAGATATAAGTAGGAGTCAAGTTTGAATCCCTAGGGAGGAACAAGAGACTCAACAGAAGCCATATAAGGACATGTGTTTACACCCTCATATATTTTCTTTAGGTATCCTATGACAACTAGTTTTTTTCTGGAGATCACAAGTTATTTATGGCATTAACTTGAAATAACAAATGTTGTTCAGCCGAGATAACAGGACAATGGTCATGGCTCAAAAACATTTTTCTTCCGGCGGTGACAGCAAGTTAAAACTTGGTATCACGAAAAAACTATTTGGTAGACTGTGGTTTTACTTTTACTTAAAGGGGCCCTATTATGCTTTTATGGGTTTCTCTTTCCTGTAGTGTGTTAGACAGTATAGGTTTTAGTGCATGTAAATGGTCTGCAAAGGCTAAAATCCCTTATCCCCCCTGCCCTGAAACGCCTCCATTGGACTCCTTTGTTTACTTCCTGAACATAGTTACATCTCTATGGAACACGAGTGCTTCTATTGGCTAACGCTCCAACACATTGTACGTGATAGGCTAAGGGGCGGAACATTTCTAGGCGGTTGACCAATCACAACAGAGCCGGCCAGCTAACCAATCAGACTGGGCTGAGTTTCCATATGGTGTTTTTTTATGCAGTCAATGTTTTTCCTGAAAAGAACAGGTGCAGCATTTAACATAAACTCTTTCCCATTTAAGTGTCCCAAGAAGGCAAAGAGCCAGACTGCACCAGGGCCGTCCCTCCCTACAGGCCGATCATGCAGACTGCATGGGGCCTCACATTGCGCAGGGGGCCTCGCGCAGGGGGCCTTGGCGTATGAGCTCAGCTTGTGCGCAGTTCTCAGCGCAGTTCTCCCCGCACCGATTATGATTATGATTATTATTATTAGTAGAAGTAGTTTATTTGCATTCATTATATTTTAATCTTTTTGAGGCTAGTATTTGGCAGGAAATGCAGACGTATTCACCTGTAAACGCATACTGAACGACATACATGCACATTTACCATTTACCTCACTGTATAAAAAAGTAACTGTGTTGATAATAATAATAAACAGGAATTATATTTGCAAAGTACTTTGTTTCTAACATTTATTTTTTCACTCCTGTCGGTTGGGGGGAGGGGGGGCCTCATCTCACAATGTGCTTGGGGCCCAAGTTGGCAAGGGACGGCCCTGGACTGCACAACAACATGCCTCTGGACCTGGCACACCTAAATGGAGTCAAGCCATTATTAGTGGTTGTTAATTACACATGAAGGCATGTTGGGACATATCTCAGCCAAGAGACTGGCACAGAAACAAAGCTTAATTCTCCTATTGGCTCTGTCTTTCTTGGAATTCTTATAACCTAATTTATTTATTTTAAGTATAAGTTGATTCTTGTTTTGTTCTGTTACAGAAATGAATAGAAAATGCAAGTGAAGTAAAAAGTACTCTGAGCCTTTAGTCAAGTAAAAGAAGAATTACTATGGTCTTAAAATACTTCAATACAAGTAAAAGTAGAAGTACAGGAGTATTATCAGAAACATGTACTTTAAGTTTCAAAAACAAAAGACTTGGCCCTTTTCACAGTATTAGGGTATTTTAGAATATTATAATAATTGTTCTAATTACATTTCATTCCATGTTAAAGTTGAAGTTTGTCACTGTAGAGACCATTACCTTTTAAATAGTCAAATATCAAACATTTATATTTTAAATACTGGGTAGATAACAGCAGTGCATCATATCGTATGAGCATAAAATGAGTATTTAAATGTAAAAAGGAGATGGAGGGTAAAATAAATATAGTGGAGTGAAAAGTACAATATTTGCCTCTAAAATATAATGCATTGGAAGTAGCAAAAAAATTGACACTTTCAACTACCTCAATAGTTGTACTTAAAATACAGTTATGAATAAATATACTTAATTTCATTAGTCAATCTTGGGATTTGGGAAACACTGATCAACAGTTTTCAGCATCTAAAGTTAAAGTAAGGGAACGTGAAATGCTATACTTTCAACCAACTTTTACTTACAGTATATACTTAATATTGACCACGTTTCATAACTTCTACCTGTATGTGCAGGCTGTCTCCGGCTGGCCTCGTCCCGATAACTCACGAGTACTTAAATCCTTCAGAAAATGTGAGGAATTCAGCCGGAGAAACGATCTCATGGTCCTCAGAGGGACTTTACCCTGCCATCATATGATCATTAAGACTGCTGGTTATGTGGAGCTGGCAACATATGCCAAGCTGTGCCTGGTGCTAAATCAATGTGTCTTAGGTATTAATATCTGGGTAAACACAGTGTTGGTGGTCGTGATGTTAATCTAATTTTCTTTAATTCTAGCAACCAGGGGAGGTCTCTTATTCATCAAAAACTTGTAGACGGTGGATATTTTGTTGGCTGATTCCAGTCTTTTTAGATTCAGCATGTTTCAATTCGACTACTTTTAGGCCAACAACAGGATAAGGCTTCAGTATTTCTCCCTCAAAATGTAATTGATGGCCACATGGAGGTGGTATTTAGACCTTCATGTCTCGCAATAACATTTAATTACAGACAGCATTACTCAACTATACAACACATTTTAAAAAAGTAGTTATTTTAAAATAATTCATACACATTTTTCTGGATTTCTGGCAAAAACAATGCTCCACATTTCAATATAAAAATGAGGATACAAAATATTAGGCACGAATGTTAATATTGTTTTTTGCAACTACTGCTTAATATTTCATAATAATAATAATAATAATAATAATAATAATAATGAAATACATATATTTTTTTAATATTTTCAATCATTTTTTTATTCTAATAAAGAGCAAGTGTCCCCAAACCTAATTTCCTCTCAAGATAACACAAATATTCAGAATCAAATCTGGTTGTATTCATTGAAATCTCTCATTGCACTATATGCTGGTATTTTATTATTTTATAATCCTGTCTTTTTTATCACCTTGCATTACTTTTAGAAAATAAAATAGTTTTCTATCTTTGTTTTCAAATGTTGCTTTACTTTTATGTATGCACCACCACACCAAGTCAAATTCCTCGTAGCCTAGGCTACGTGTCAACCTAACTGGTAATAAACCTGTTTCTGATTCTGATTTCTGATTCTGATAATACATTTACAAAAATAAACTTTCCTTTCCTTTAATACTCGAGGCAAACTTTCCTCTAAGTGAAAGTTTTAAACATCAGGCAGGTGAAGCACACAGAGACTGGTATTCTTCATTGTTCAGTGCAATGCTATTCTCCAATGATGCAGTGCATTGACCCTGAAGTTGGATAGAGAATAAAGGGCTTCAGAATGATATCCCATTGGACGGTGAGGAAAAGGGGGCGGGGCCAGTGGAAGAGGGGGGGGAGCCTCTGAGGACAGTACGGCTGCTCGGCTCTTTCTCTCTGTTCGCTCTTTGCTCTCCTGCAAGCTGCGTGGCTTCCCGACAACAAAACCTCAACTTTAAACAGTGTTTTCTTCTTTTTTAATGCATATTTAATCCCGAAACTCGCACCGCAGACACATGGATCAACCATTCCCCGACACTTCAGGAAATGATGCAGTTTTAAACTCGGAATGTGTCTAAATTAACTTCAAACAACTCAACAACGGAACAAGTCAACATACCCGGATCAACCGTGCTCAGTGCGCCTATCAAGGTAAGAGAGATTTAAAAATAAGTATCGGTTCCTGCTTATTTCCAGAGGTGAAAGTGCTTAGATATTGTACTTGAATACAAGTAGAAGTATTCCAGATTGTAGAAATACTCTGTTGCAGTAAAAGTCCTGCAATCAAGATGTTACTCAAGTAAAAATACAAAAGTATTGGCATCAAAATATACTTAAAGTATCAAAAGTAATCATTCTGCAGATTGGTCCATTTCAGAATAATATATATGATGTGTTTTATAATGATTGCTCATTAAAGTGTTCTCAAAGCTTGTAAAGGTGCAGCTAGTTTGAATGGCTTTGTATACTGCAGGGTAGCTTGTGAATTTACTCCAGGTGGAACTAAAGTCTGATTTAACACTGACTTGATTATATTTCACATCATTAATCCAGATCTGTAAAGTTACTAAATGTAGTGGAGTACAGGTACACCATTTAACTCTGAATTGTGGAGGAGTAGAAGTACAAGGCAGCATAACCTTTAAATACTATTAAACTTGTACTTCAGTTGAGCAAATGTACTTGGTTACTTCCCTCCTCTGCTTGTTCTACATTTATCAAACTTCCGAAATGTGAGCCTGTGTGAGTCTCGGTGGTGAAGCGGCTCCTGTGATGTGAGCAGGCTGACTGGAGGAGAGCATGCGGACCGCAGTCTCACATTTACTGCACACATACGATTGGATTTCACGCTGAGTCCCTCCACGGAAGCCCTCAGTCTCCCTTTCAGTGGGATTGAATAGCCGACTTAAATTTATCTGGTGGGAAACAAAGGAGGCTTTAAAGCGGAAGATATTTATTTGGTCGGCTTCAAGTTGTGGACAGTCATTATTAGCCGGTACTGTGCATTATACACTGGTGGTTATATTGGTGTAAAATCCAATTTATATTTAGCATGAAGATAACTAGCGATGCAATCATAATGGCCATCAATCGTAAAGTAGATTTTAATGCAAAAATGTATCAAATGTGGATATAATCAGTTTTTTTCTGTAAAAAATCAGTCTACCTTACAATATCAAAAGCAATATTGATGATATTTGATTTTCTCAATATCACTTAGGCCTACCCCTCGTTTCAGCCCTAAAGCCAACTGTATTGACTATCATTGAATTTAATTATTTTATTGTCACTGTCACAGGTCCAACAACATTTAAAAATAATTGTAGTAGCAATTTTGATAATACAGATGACTTGATATCAAAGATGACATTGTATAAATATTGTGTGAAAGGACTTCAAGTCAACCCCACAATATTGCCGCAATATAGTTATCAACGTGTTTAGAAATGTTATGAAATGTAATTTTCTCTATATCGTCTAGCTGTAATTTCAGCCTTAAAGTTAAATACATATTCAATTTGGCATCACCATCCTCCTCCCACTTAATGAAGAACGGCTGCAGGCCTGTCTAACCACTGCGCTTGAGATCAAAAGATGGATTGGTCTTTTTCATCTGTTGCACTGTGGTTACATAATTCCATCCCGAAGGAGCTGGACTGGAGGTGTCACATCGTATATGAGCCTGAACGCTTTGACACCTTCTTGCATTCGAGCCAGCCGAGGAACAGCTCAGGCTGCAGGGAGCGATCCACTCTCTGCGCCACGACGTGACTCACTGCCATGAAATGTTTATAGGGGTGGAACGATGTGATGTAGGGCAACACACCCAAGGTGTTGCTACTTTGCCTGACACTTCGCACCACAGAAGGAAAGTAGAATGAATTAAAAAGCCAGTTGAGAATTCAGATTTAGAAGTGGACACATGCAGGTTTCTGAAGTTAGCCTTTTAGTTGATTTGGAAGTGTACACATGCAGGTCGTGTGTGGGAGTGCTCCTTATCTGATCTCCTTTCATGTCTGAAGGCTGAAGTTTATATCCGTTGTTACCTAAGCCTACTGATATGAGCGCTTTTATTCCTGAACAACCCATTCATCAGCTGTGTATAATCATAAAAAGGGAGGAGTGTTTATAGCGGCGTTCACATCAAAAGGACGGCTCATGACATGACCTGATAAGATCTCTTCCTCCTGTCCATTTGTTATAAACGGCCGGTTCAAACAAACACAAAGGTGCGGCTGTTTTTTAAAACATGTTCTTATATAAGTTGTCACCCTCTGTTCCTCCTCTAGGTCCAAGTCAAGATGTCTGTCAGTAATCATGAAAACAGGAAGTCTCGCTCTAGTTCCGGCTCCATGAATATCCACCTCTTCCACAAAACATCCCACGCCGACAGCCTGTTGACTCAGCTCAACCTGCTGCGCAAACGAAAAGTCTTCACAGATGTTATCCTGAAAGCGGGGAACAAATCCTTCCCCTGCCACCGGGCCGTCCTCGCCTCCTGCAGCCGATACTTCGAGGCGATGTTCAGCGGCGGGCTCAGAGAAAGTCGCGACGCCGAGGTCGACTTCCACGACTCCCTCCACCCAGAGGTGCTGGAGCTCCTGCTCGACTACGCCTACTCCGCTCGGATCCTCATCAACGAGGAAAACGCCGAGTCGCTCCTGGAGGCCGGCGACATGCTTCAGTTTCACGACATCCGGGACGCGGCGTCTGAGTTTCTGGAGAAGAACCTGGATCAGTCGAACTGTTTTGGGATGATGCTGCTGTCGGACGCGCATCAATGCATGAGACTTTACGAGCTGTCGTGGAGGATGTGCCTGGCGAACTTTGCTACGCTTTTCAAAACAGAGGACTTTCTCAGCCTGCCCAGAGACAAAGTCCAGGAGCTGATCTTGAGCGAGGAGCTGGAGGTGGAGGACGAGTGCCTGGTGTACGAGGCTGTAATCGACTGGGTCAAAGCGGACATGGAGCACCGGCACAGTGAACTCCCCGAACTGCTGCGATGCGTCCGCTTGGCTTTGCTCCCCGAGACGTATCTGCTGAAGAACGTGGCCTCGGAGGAGCTGGTGATGTGCCACAAAGTGGGCCGGGAGATCGTGGAAGATGCTGTACGGTGCAAAATGAGGATCCTGCAGAACGATGGCATTGTGACGGGGTTCTGCGCCCGGCCGAGGAAGGTGAGCCAGGCCCTGCTGCTGCTGGGAGGACAGACGTTCATGTGTGATAAAGTCTACATGATCGACAACAAGACGAAGGAGATCACGCCCAAAACAGACATCCCCAGCCCCCGGAAGGAATGTAGCGCCTGTGCTATTGGATGCAAGGTAAATATATGATCCATACTTCAATTGTGTGCATTTGAATATCATTTTTGATAGAATGTGGCTCTGAATGTGTCTGAAATGTTTCCTGTGATAGGTCATTTCATATCGGTTCTATATGAAATATAGCCTGTTTTGACAAATGACCAATTTAATGAAGAAATTTAGTAGGGGTGCACCGAATGGGAAATTCTTGGCCGAAACCGATACCGAAAATAGGAAACAGTTGGCCGAAAACCGAATGCCGAAAGGCCGAAAATGATTAATAGAAATATATATATATATAAATATAATGTATACATTTTTTGCCAATGTTGTTCAGCTACCTGATTATGGAAAAATACATGATTATGGCAAAACTTAACTTAACTTAAATTAACTTAACTTAACTTAAATAATAATCACTATTATGGGTCCATAAAACATTTATTCAGCACTTTTGAATGCATACAGTACATTAATTCCAAGTCAAGTGCATTTTCTTTTCTCTGTAGGATAACTACAACAAAGTGCATTCAGAACAAAGCCAAGGTGCTTTAAAACTGCATAAACATCTAGGCCAGTAGGCCTACAACAAACTAGTGTAAATAAAGACTGTAACAGCCAGGCCATCAACAACAACACATGCACCGATAAGTTTGGTAACCTAACGTGTTGTTGTGATGACGTAATCAAAACGCGGCGACAAGCACGGCGCGCGACCATGCTCGCGGCTGGCTCACAGCCAACATGTCTGCCGCTTGGAGATATTTAAAAATATCAGAGAAAGAGGCGCGGATTGCGATTTGTAAAACGTGTTCAGCTGACATTTATCCAGGGGGTGTAACTGCAAAGACTTTCACCACTTCAGGATTACTCCACCACTTGAAATCAAAACAAAAAGCCGAAAGGGCCTTTTTAACCATTTTTGGCCGATAATTTTCGGTGGCCGAATATTCGGTGCATCCCTAACATTTAGTGTAAGATTTGATTAATTGTGCTTGACTGATCCCAATTTGGGATATTGTTTGAGCTTAAAATTAAAATAAAAATGAACATAATTGCAAATTTGAGTTAGTATTTGCCAGTTTTAATGACTAAAATATATCCTTTTTTTGCTTAATTTAGCACCACAAGAGTATACAGCTTATGTCCTCTCTCTTTGTCTCAGGTTTATGTTACTGGAGGACGTGGCTCTGAGAACGGGGCCTCCAAAGACGTCTGGGTCTACGACACGTTACACGACGAGTGGTCCAAAGCCTCCCCGATGCTTGTAGCCAGATTCGGACACGGGTCGGCGGAGCTCGACCACATGCTGTACGTGGTCGGAGGACACACTTCTCTCGCAGGGTCGTTCCCCGCATCTCCATCTGTGTCTCTGAAGCAGGTGGAGCAGTACGACCCTCAAACCAACAAATGGACGCTGGTGGCTCCGCTCCGAGAAGGGGTGAGCAACGCTGCCGTCGTTGGTGCCAAAAACAAACTCTTTGCCTTTGGGGGAACCAGTGTAAACAGGGACAAATACCCCAAGGTCCAGTGCTTCGACCCCTGCGAGAACCGATGGACCGTGCCCGCTTCCTGCCCACAATTGTGGCGCTACACTGCTGCAGCCGTGGTGGGAAATCACGTGGTGGTGATCGGAGGCGACACTGAGTTCTCCGCCAGTTCTGCTTACCGGTTCAACAGCGAGACGTTCCAGTGGACGAAGTTCGGAGACGTCACGGCCAAACGGATCAGCTGCCATGCGGTGGCGTCAGGAAACAGACTATATGTGGTCGGGGGGTACTTTGGGGCTCAGAGGTGTAAAACTCTAGACTGTTACGACCCCTCTTCAGACTCTTGGGACAGTGTGACCAGCGTGCCCTACTCCCTCATTCCCACCGCCTTCGTCAGCACGTGGAAGTACCTTCCAGCATAGAGACAAACTGACTCTGAAGTTTCTACAGACTTGGTGAGTAGTTGTTTTTTCCTTAAACTGACACAAAAAGTCAATTATATGTGCTTTTAATATTAGTGTGGGAAAAATGTCAATTTTCTTATCAACATCATGATTTGAGACTACACACCATGTTTGATTTTGGATATCATAATTAGATGAGTTGAGATTCAACTTTATTGTCATTGCACAAGTACTGGGACAACAAAATACAGTTAGCATCTAACCAGAACTGCAATAGAAGCAGTCAAGTGCGGTGTAATGAATTAGTATAAAATAAAAATATAAATAGAGTAGGGAAAAGCAAAAGTGTATATAGAGTATTTATTATAATAAAATCAGAATCAGAATACCTTTATTAGTCCCACAGAGGGGACATTTGCATCGTTACAGCAGGAAAGAGCCACAGACAGCTTAGTGTTACATATGTTAAAAAAAGTACTAAATTATGATATAATAAAAAATATTATAAAAAAAAAAAAGTAAAAAAAAAAAAAAATCAAATCCTGTAACAGTTCTTAGGATTTAGCAGCCAGGTATATATTACACAGTTATTAATGGCATATGTATATAATGTATATATTGCACATATTGCACATAGTTTGATGGTATTTAACAGCAGCAAATTACACAATTTACAAAATGCAAAAAACACACCTTGTAACGGTTCTAAGGATTTTGCAGCCAGGTATAAATTACCTGTATAAAAAAAGTGGTGGTTCTTCCTGGTTGTAAAGGCTGCATTACAGAGTATCGATGCCATTTTCTGAATGTACTATACTTGTAGCTGTTCTATTAATTGCCTTAACCCACTTAGACCTGATATATTCATTACCATTATCCATCAACATTTTCATGGTTTAAGCATTCTGCCAACGGTTCAATGGCTAACCTTCAATATCAATATCAAGGTATTTGGTCAAAGATATTCTTCATATCCTTCAGCCCTAATTAGTAATGTTGGATGCTATAGGAACTCCTTTTATGGTAACTAGTTACTATCTTCAGATAACTTTCACACCATGGTTCACTAGAGGAGTCAGTTTGAACCGGACGAGGCCGGTTTAAAACCCCTGACTGTTTCCAGCGTTGCTCGTGGTTACAGTTGCACATTACCTCGCTGCTGCGTCTGCCGGGTGTTGGATAAACACGGAGCAGTGCTGCTTTAGAGAGCAGGAGGAATGTCAGCGGTTCTGGTAATTACAGAGCGAGAGCTACAACACAGAGCTCTGTCACTGAGGAGAGCAAGGTGGAGATTCAGGGGTCAGATCTGGGCTTGAAGTGGGCCGGGTCGGGGTTAAAGAGGCAAGGCCGGAGCCCAGGTGTCAACTGAATGCCTTTTTTTAGATGAGCCAGAACCTCAAAACAGTTGTAAGTTGTAAAAGGTGTTGTGACACACTGGGTTTAACATATGGAGGGTTTGGAGTCAAAGTAGGCTTAGGGTTAGCTTTAGATAAGAGTAGAAAGAAACACTTTTATTAGCTTATAACCTCGGGGTCTGAAAAGTGAAGCCAATGCCCACAACTTGAATTCTTTGTGTTTTCAAGTATGGAAAATAAATCAGATTGTGTAGAAGTCTGAGAAAATGATCCTATTATTAGCCTTTGTTTGTCTTAGACACAATCGGCTACTTTGGAGTTTTAAAAGTTAAGCCAATGTGAAACTGCTTTAAAGTAGTAGTAGGGGAAGAGAAGTCTGATTGTATAGAAGTCTATGAATAAACTATACCATATATCTTACTTGATAAACCTTTTTTCTGATTATTTTCTGGTCTAAATCACATGTTTCAAGTCTTCTTCAATACAGTAGGATGTTAGTTTTGTACATTATAGTCCCTTTAAGTGTAACATATATAACAAAGCAAGGTAGGTGTAGGTCTGAGCAATGTAATGATTGACAGGTAGCTACTGCAGTGTGGTCCAATCAGGATGAGCCTCATGTTTCTTAACTTCAACCCTTTTGAGGTGTGTTTTTTTTAGTTATTTATTTATTTTTTGTGTCAATTTGCCAAGTCTTTATTTCTGGTTCCAAAAACCAAGATGGCACTGGTCCAAATGCAAAAACCTTAGATACAAAACCGTCCTTCTTATAATAAGTATATGCTTATACACTACTTACTTCAACATGATTAAACCCCCCCCACCCAAAAAAAGTCAACTGATTTAATACAAGTAATAAATAATACATTACCCACACAGCTCCTTTCTCAAAGTGCTTTGAAGGACAAAAACAAAGTACCATATGTGCTGACAGACACAATCTGTTCTGCTCAAAGTAAAGTCTGAAAAGTTTCTTATGAGCATGGGAGGTTGTTGGGATTAAAAAGGAAGGACACATCTCAAGGCTATGAAAATATGATAGAGTTAGATGTAACATATAGGTGAATAATTGCTCGGCCTGATGCAATGACAGCTGGCCTTTTTCACAGATTAATGTGTGATGACAGATTATACATCTTTCCTGAGGTGTTTTCAGGGTTTTTTGCACAAAGTGAGGATTGAGGGGATAGTAGATGAAACAAGGAGAGGACTGAGGGGCTAGTAGATGAAACAAGGAGAGGATTGAGGGGCTAGTAGATGAAACAAGGAGAGGATTGAGGGGATAATAGATGAAACAAGGAGAGGATTGAGGGGATGGTAGATGAAACAAGGAGAGGATTGAGGGGCTAGTAGATGAAACAAGGAGAGGATTGAGGGGCTAGTCGATGAAAC